CTCCACCCGCCCCACCACCGCCAGAAGGAACAGAAGCTAACTTCTCCCTACCCGAAGCAATCAGTTCGGTGATGTCTTTTCCACTAACTTCTTTTAGAAGAAGCTCAATGCTCTCCTCGTCAACCTCGGCACCAACTTAATTGTACAAATAAAATATGGTCATGATTCATGATCCAAACACGAAAATCACTCAAATCACTACCCTCCATTCTCCAGTTCAAGGATTCAAAGAATACCCACAAATCTCACAACTACATAATCATCAATCTTTTACATGCATTTCAAAAAACCTTCACATCTGGGGATTAAACTAAACTCTTAAGACAAAAGAAATGCAGAAAAACCTATAAAAAATCCCTAAAAGGAGCGTTTTTAGAGCGACCCATATTCAGGTTTCAGATCATTGTCCATAAAAAATCACACACTACAAGCTAGTAATCGCAGATGAAAGTTATAAATTTGACCTAAAAATGTGAAGTCCAAACATATCGTAAAATACCTGATCCAAGAATGTCCTTGATATCAGCGGCAGAAGGGCTAGCCTTGCCTCCGAGAACGGCGAGCAAAAACGCAGCGATAACCTTCATTTCTGCCCTCGAAAATCAAAACAAAGAAACCCAAACAGAGAACATATTAGCAACAATGGCGTGAAAAACTACAATGCAATCAAAAGAGAATGAAATCGGGATCGAAAGAGAAATACCCAAGTCGTAAGAATCGGAACTGCCCGAGAATCGGTGAGAGGAAGCTACGAGTTAGGGTTTTCAAGTCGCAAGAGTTAATCAAGAGAGAGCGGAAGTGGGTTATATATAGTTAGGGTTTATTCTCTCTCCTCTTGTCTGAGCATTGAATCGTAGCCGTTCTTTTTTATTCTTCCAATTATATCCTCGACTTGGTACTGTTGTAACCCCGACCGGTTCAACCATGAACGGACCACTATTATGCTCTAAATCGGTTTTCAAAATATTGAATAATCCAACCGGTTTGAATTGGTTTTCCTAATAATCCAAGATTTGGAAGACCTTAAGCAATTCAAGATTATGGTGGCGACCTAAATCCAGACCTTTGATACATCCGTGGAGACGATGGTTATAACGAGGATATCTTACGAAAATAAGAAATAAGAGTTTAATAAGGGTTTCTTAAGCAAAATTATCTTAAAACCGTAAAAAAGGGAGTCATTTTACCGACCAAGGCATTACCAATGGCATTGTCTTGGTTTACATACCGGTTTGGCTCTGGTTTACCTATCCGTCGATTTTTGACATCCAAACAAGATTCTCAGGAAAATGGATCTTCAGATCGGTTTTTATCCTGAAGTTCACTCGAGTTCATCAATATACGAACAAGGTTACCTTTGCGAATATCGCCACAAGAGAGAAGCTTACTCTCGGGAACAAATGACCAGAGCTTTCACCACAAGAACCATCTTTTTCTAGATGAAGGTTTCGGGGTCTGATCAGATTCATCCTTTTTCCTATTCTCTATTCCCTGCTTCAGAGACTCCAATCTTTTCCTGTGACATCCATAAAAGTTTAGTTTGAGAAAAAAACCAAAGACCCAAGTCATGAACAAGAATATATAATACAGGGCAAGAAGAATTTTTTAGATATAAAGCTAAGAATCACTAGTCGAGGTGTGATTAGAATAACAAGTGACATAGAATCAGTTAATAGATATAACCTATTATGATTGTGTATAAAAAGATAGGATAAGGTTTTTACAGTACTTGGTATCTGTAAGTCGGCCATGCAAACTCCATCTTTGGCGAAATCCGTCAATGCCTTCTACTCCGCTTGCAAGAATCAAGCGCCTGCGTATAGAAATGATACAAGCAATATAAGAGTGATAGTCCATCACGAAGAAAACTGAAACGATCGAGGCATTTGCTCCATCAAAGTATGAAAGGTTTTGGACAAGTATTGAGGTTGTGAAAAGATTTTCCAAACACAGGATAATACTGCAAAGTATTAGTTAAGGTTTGGTATCAGAATTCAGAATAAGAGCAAACTCAGTACGTTGTTCGCATCATAGGAGACAAAACTATTCACAAGGTTATCAAAGAGAAGGAAAACCACAAATATTTTCCATCTGAAAAGTATCTCTAACATGATAGTTTTATAATAGACGGAGATCCACAGCATCATAATATCGAATTTGTCAACCGAGGAACCTTTAACGAAGGCCTATAACTATATCAAGGAAATACCGTTCTAATGATGTGACTTCAGTTTCAAGCTGAGAAGTCCTCTCCTTAGCAAGATCTAGAGGCATAGACGACCCTAATTTGTGTTCGCTGTCTTGAAGCCTTTGTCTCAGTACCTTATCCTATAAGCATAGCCAAAAGAGTTTGTATCAAATACCATCTTGAAATAAGAGATAGAAGATCGGAAAGGATTATACAGAGATGACCTTACCCTCTTTTCAGCACACTCCCGATACAAAGCAAGCTCCTCTTGGCAAAATGGTTCAATATCATTGATTTGCAAGCCTGAAATAGAGAATCGATCGTGTGTACTGGCAGGTCTTGGAACAGTTGTATAGGAAACCGAAGGGAAGGATAATATATGATCCTAGACATTATAACAAAAACCACATGGCAGAACAAAACCTTACATAGGAACAGATTCCTCAAAATTCCATCGCATAATTCAACGCCCTCCAACACGTGAGAAGCAATTTCTGGTGGGATTATAGGGGATGGAGGACCCAACATCAGGTCGTCACCGACCAGTATAGTCTCCTCCATCGTTGGTTGTGAATCCACTGAAAGAAAAGAAACAAGAATGTTCACTAACAGTACATAGACCACCATGAATATCGAGTTTCATCTATAATCCATGAAGAACAAAAACAAAACAATTTCCCAAGGACATCCATTCAGTTCTCCAATACAGGGTCTGATATTTTCTCATTTAAAAATAAAAAAGTTCCATGAAAACGCCAAGTTAAACAAATAAAGAAACAAACTTTAGGGAAATGAATTCATATTTCGTTTAAAAAAAAACTTTTGTGAGAAGAACAAGAGTATATACCAATACATAATCACATAGGATTGGTTTTCAAGTATTGTCACTAGAAAGTCATCAATGCCCATTATACCAACAAAAGAACATTGATGACCCTGCGCGTTTGGTGATTCCGCATTTTTTACAAGATATTGTAGAACATTTTCATCACATGGAACAAAATTTGAACTTTAAACCACGAAGAACGCAAATTCATATAATTTACTTACTTGAATACGAAAGTTTCGTAATCCAACAAAAGATTATGCAATACAACGAAAAAAACCTCTATGTCAAGCTTTACGACTGAATCAATCGAAACCCAGAAGATGAAAATTCACAAAGTTCACGAATCATTCACATACCATCCATGGCGGCTCTGTACCAACTTCCCCAATATCCAGAAGCTAATAACTAAGAAAGTAGACGAAACCTCGGGAAAACCCTGAAATTTCAGACAAGAAAGAAAGAGACATCAAAATCACCATGGTAGTTTAGGAGAGCCATTAATACAACAGAATATTTTGAAGGCACAAATCTCTCTTAGGCATTTCGTCGAACATGTCCCAGGCATCAAATGCACTTACCCGATCAAATGTACTTATCCGTTTACGTAACAAACCCAATTAAACACAACAAATGTCGGGAGGGCAAAAATAACCTTAAATGATACATTGGACTTCATCGTATACCCTTCATAAAAAAAAGAAAAAAGACAACATCAAATATAACCTTATAAATGTAGTTTCCCTATAATACCCTTTATTAATTTATATAATATAATAAAATAAAATAAAAATTATATTTCTCTCTTCTCTCCACCTCTCTCTCTCCCGCTTTCTTCTCTCTGCATCTCTCTCTCCTGCTTTCTTCTCTCTCCTCCTCTCGCTCCATTGTCTCTCTCCTTTCTCGTGCTCTCTCTCTCCTCTCATTCTCTCTCACGTTTTCTTCTCTCTCCACCTCTCGTTCCATTGTCTCTCTCCTTTCTTGCGCGCCCTCTCTCCTCTCCTCCTCTCTCTCTTATGTCTCTTCTCTCTCTCTCGCTTTCTTCTCTCGCCACATATCTCTTGCTAATAGATAATTTATCATTTTAAAATATGTTATTCATTTTGGACATTTATAATTTTTGTTGTTTTTGAATTTATATTTGAACTATATGATATGGATGAGTCAAACAGATCAAATCGAGTAAATTCTCCAAATTGGGCAAACTCACAAAGCTCATCAAAATAGTCATACTCATCAATCTGGTCTTACTCTTCAAACTGATCATATTACTCATATTATGTGTTTGTTTTATACAAACATAATGAATACAGATGATAAAAAGAATGACAATTATTTATTACGAGTCTTGTCATAAATGG